CCCACCCCCACCTACTCACACCCCCACCTACTCACACCCCACACAAGCCTACTTAACTCCCAACCTTACCTTCGCCACAGGCCCAACCCCTTCCCACTTCCCATACTTACAGTGTTATAAATACTCATCACTAAAGCAATGCATTGCTAGTTAGCCTTTCTCATGTGGGCCAATGTTCGCAATTTTTGGACTACTGTTTCTGTGATCACAGTAGGAATTTTTCCTTGAACATTACTAACAATGGACCAATCCCATATTAATCAAAATTTTGATCTCAAGTCTAGACAAAATTCCATCACAGATAAAGAGCATCACAAAATTAGTAATATTCCAAAGTTTCGTTGCGAAATATTGTAAAATGCGGATAATATAGCCTTGCAAAATTTGCAATTTTCAGTCATTTTGTATTACGAGCGGGAAACGGTTACCACTTTTCCCAAATTTGGATCTCAACAACAGACCTGCCAAGGTTCCCGCATTTCGCGTGAAAGTTATGCATTCTGCTTTTGTTCCCGCTGTCCCGCACGCATAACTAAAATGATCTTAAAGTTACGCATTTTTACCATTACATGACGCTATCCTACTTTTCGTACAATAACTCACTGACGACGCTTTGCTCAAACGTAGAATTAGAGTTAACAACGTTAGAATTAGCGTCAGATGCATCATGGCCTGCGGTATATGGCCAAATATGCTTTCTGACGATCTGGAGACTCCAAATTTCCAAAATTTTCTCAATTTTCCTAGTGACATTAAACTGTAAGTAACACTGTCATATTGATCAGTAGTTATTTAAGTTATCTTCATTGTTAGGCAGCAGTAAAACATTGAAATCTTGGAGTAGGAAAGACTCTAAAAATGCTATTTCCGACGGTCTAGAGAATTCAAATTTTCAAAATATTTTGCTCGGCGCCACCATGATGGCGCCTCATGGGCGACGGAAAATCAGGTGAATAGACCACTTCGCCGGTTTTGTGTTAAGTGGAAACACGTGCTCGCGAAATCGGAAACTCGGACAAATATGGCGGAACGTAATACAAATGCTATTCAAAAAACACAAATGTTTCGGCCATTTAATAGATAAATTCGCGCGCTTTCGTCACGAAACAATAGTCAAAATGGAAAGTATGTCACGAGAAGAGAAATTCAAAGCCACGAAGCTGCCGGAGCTCAAAGCGCACTTACAAAATCGAGGAATTACCGTTAACAGTTTACCTCGAACCCGGACTCGTAGCTATTGCTTGTGCCGTCGAAGAAATGAGTTTTTCATTGCTTTTTCAAGTCAGTGAAGCCGAAGACCACTTAAATCTAAGCCGTCGTTTGAAAGTTCACGATATTCAGCTGCCTGATCCTTTTAAAATGAATGTTTTAAACGATTTTAAGCATTCTCGCGCGTTGTTTGATATATTTAATATTAATCATCTCGTATATCACTCGTCAGAATATGACAAGCAAAGTCTAGCAGCAGCTTATAAATATCTTTTACATATCGTACGCATTTTAATGTTGCGTTTTATATGCTAGACGGAGATTAGGATTATTATTCTCCGTACTAGTTATTGCTGATACAGGGTCTAGATGTTCTTCAGTAGGACCATTTTGTCCAACAAAATGAAGGCTATAAATGAAGGCTATACAAAAATATAACTATCCTTCGTACATACAAATTTATCGCCTCTGTGACATGCACGTATCCAGCCCTCTCGTTTTTGCGCTGTGGTATCTAGCCCCAGGAAAATGTAAAAAAATATATATCAAACATGGCAGAGCGTATATATACTGTATAGAACAATATAGAACGGTTACGACTAAAAAGTGCATGCGCTTGGGGTACTTGTAAAAGCGATTCACGGTATCCTGATCGGTTAAAACCAGACAGTAATGGAGCTGATATCTTTTTTTTTACATTTTCCTGGGGCTAGATACCACGAAGGATAGTTATATTTTTGTATAGCCTTCATTTATAGCCTTCATTTTGTTGGACAAAATGGTCCTACTTCAGAACATCTAGACCCTGTATCAGCAATAATTAGTACGGAGAATAATAATCCTAATCTCCGTCTAGCATATAAAACGCAACATTAAAATGCGTACGATATGTAAAAGATATTTATAAGCTGCTGCTAGACTTTGCTTGTCATATTTGGACGAGTGATATATGAGATGATTAAATATATCAAACAACGCGCGAGAATGCTTAAAATCGTTTAAAACATTCATTTTAAAAGGATCAGGCACTATCAGGCAGCTGAATATCGTGAACTTTCAAACGACGGCTTAGATTTAAGTGGTCTTCGGCTTCACTGACTTGAAAAAGCAATGAAAAACTCATTTCTGCGACGGCACAAGCAATAGCTACGAGTCCGGGTTTGAGGTAAACTGTTAACGGTAATTCCTCGATTTTGTAATTGCGCTTTGAGCTCCGGCAGCTTCGTGGCTTTGAATTTCTCTTCTCGTGACATAATTTCCATTTTGACTATTGTTTCATGACGAAAGCGAGCAAATTTATCTATTAAATGGCCGAAACATTTGTGTATTTTGAATAGCATTTGTATTACGCTCCGCCATGTTTGTCCGAGTTTCCGATTTCGCGAGCACGTGTTTCCACTTAACACAAAACCGCCGAAGTGGTCTATTCGATATTTTCGGCAATCGTTGCCGAAAGTTCAAGCATTTCAACTTTCCGCAACGATTGCCGAGAATATCGGGTTGCAATTGCATTACCGCGCCAGATATGTTACACGGGCAATTTCATCACTCGCGCGAGTAACGCAATGAAATTTAACCCGTTGCGTTGCCGGCGCGAGAAAAAAATCGCACGTGTAACTGGACCTCTCAAAATAACTACTTGACTAGTACTGGCAATGCGTATCCACTAAAATATAGAGCTATAGCTACCTCTAGCGTGTAAATTTGATCTAATGCTAATCTAACTGTATGCATCATTCTCAAAATAACTACTTGACTGCGTATCCACTAGAATAAGGACCTTAAGCATGTACGACGGCAACGCGACGACGACAGCCAAAACAAATCAATTATTGCGAAGGTGTTGTGCATATTATCCACAACATCTACAGTGTATATGGATTGAGTTCAGTTTGAAGAGATTAAAACAAAGGTTTTATGGTTAAAAACGCTTCTGCTGAGCAAATTTGTAGTTTCACTTGTCGCGTCTTGACATGTTTGCGTTGTACACGAGACGTGAAAATCTCTGGTTTGCCGTTGTAAAAAGCCCTAACACAACGTCTCTAACTTCCGTGGGGCTTTTAATTATTCACTTCTTTTGTACTAGATCACGAATATCATTGTGTGAATAGCCGTCGTCGTCGCGTTGCCGTCCTGTTTGCTTAAGGTCCCTATTATAGATGGAGCAATCTTTAACACTATGGCAATTGATCACAATTTAATCTATTAATGCTAAGTCACTGTATGCCTCGTAGCTACCTTTACCACCACGGGATTATAATCTATCGATAATCTACTTATTAATCTATTGAGAATAAATATAGATGTATTAATACATCGTATCCATGATCGGTTTGAAAGGCATAGCTTAAAAGTGGACGGGCATTCTGCAATCGCTCCTAATAAAATATGTCAAATGTCATCACCACACAAGATATGAAGCCACAATGTGTTCTCCACAGATTTTGCATCTCAACCTAGTCAGGCAGATAGAGGACCAAAATTATGGAAAACTTACCATATCGTGGGACAATTCCATTTTTCCTTCATATTGTGCCCTGAAGGCTAATATAGTAATAAATATGTTTCTGTAGGTTGGCCGCGTTAAAATTTCTTGTGGGCTCCTGCCGACACGTTTTTCTTCGAATTTTGTATTAAACTCCATTACAGCTTAAAAATGTGAAATTTCTGACACTTTTCTAATACAAATGACTTGCATCAATAGAAAGCTAACAAAAAACTACATATGAAACAATTAAATGTTTAGTTGGGATTTTCAAGCGGTTTTCGAGTTATTGCCGTTTCGAATGTGAAAAATAAGCCAAAGTCTCGCAAAATTCCTGGGTACTAGTCTGAAACACGCATTCAACAGCTCATAACTCAAGAAGACTTGAACACCCGGGTAACCGTTTAAATGTCTTATATGTAGTTTTTGCAAGCTTCCAAACGATGTAAGTCATTTGTGTTAGAAATGTACTTGAAATTTCACATTTTTCAACTGTAATAGAATTTATTACAACATTCGAAGAAAAACGTGTCGGCAGGAGCCCACAAGATATTTCAACGTGGCCAACATACAGAAACGTACTAACTAGCCTTCAGGGCACAATATGAAGGCAAAATGGAATTGTCCCACGATAATGTAAGTTTTCCACGGCTTCTATCTGGCCGACTAACCAAGCAATACAATATTTTGAAATCACCAATTGCGTGCGCAAGACACACTGGGAAGGCGCATCTAATAAGAAGAGTATCCGCTGAATGTTTTGTTTCAGGGCGCGGGTCAATGATGCGTACGACTATATACGGAAAAATTTGCCACGTGCAAGTCCATAGCATATAATCTACTTCGTAGATTCAAAAAGTGGTAGTTGTAGCCAACTGGTTTGTAAGTTATTACTAAAGGAAAATGGCAGCGAAATACTATTTTAAATACGAAGTACGCGAGGGACGGCCAGGGTGCGCAGATGACGATTCTTACGTGAGCAGGCCTTACGACACGTTTGAAAGTGCTTATAGGAATATGGTGTCATTTGATGTCGACAATTTTTGGCCCTACTTACGAAGTGTTAGGGAACTATGGATATGGCAGGAGGGACAACCAAAGGTGAATGTCGAAAGCAGCTTTGGGATAACGACAGACGATTTACCGAAACTTGGTGTAACTAAAGAGGAGTTTAGCAGCCTACAAAAGTCTATGCGATTGTGAATCACGAGTTGTACTGAAATGCGGAATTTACGTCATTAATTTTCATCTCACTATCTACAGATCTTTGCCAGAAATGGACCTCAGAATTGAAATCGTCATGCTCAAATTAGTCAATATCGAAAATTTCATGATATCTGGACATTCATAGCGCGTTTTACGGTGTTTTTAAAATTTTGTTTTCACTCTACATTTGTATGGAATTTCCGCTGGAGTGTAAACATTTTCACTCAAATTCCATACGTACATTTCTCAATAATTTCTCAAAACAAAACATCATGAAATTTTCCGCATAGACTAATTTGGGCATGACGATTTCAATTCTGAGGTCCATTTCTGCCGAGTATATATGACAATCAATAACACAAAATCGGATCGGAGAATTATTTAATTGTTTCACTACGAAGAGGACGATTACTACGACGAACTGAAGACAAGTAGAGGACATGTCGGTCTTTCTTAGAGAGATGAGTTTAAATAGCGCAATGAAAAGACTAAAAGCCCTGTCACACTATGAAAAATATCACTCATTCTCTGAAAAATGCTGATATACGCAAGGGGTATGTCAGATAGACATAGAACGTTTCTCTTATACGCAATAATGTGACTTATAAAGATAAGGTATTGTAAACAATATAATTATTCGTCTGGCTCTGTGTTTGCTGTTTTTTTACTCGGGACGAGACATTGTTGAGATGGTATTGGAGCAAAATTTGAAGAAAAACTCGAATCTTAGTTCGCAGAAAGGGTGATTTTTCTATAAAAATCGCACATTTTACATATCGTATTAAAACAGCCCCGAAAAAATCCCAAATAGGTCTAGCGTCTTGCGCGCCGCAATTTTTTTCCGTAGACAGTCGGACTCTTCATTGATAGTCGGACTCCTCATTGATAGTCGGACGCATCATTGTGGCTATAGTTATTGTCGCTTTGTGCTTTATAAAACATAGTCTTAGGATGTTTTCATGCATGATTCTGGCATAATTGAAGAAATCGCTTGCAGGTCAATCTTTCTTGGAGATGAGACCATGTTTTCTCACGCTGACGTCCGATTTTCGTCACGGGATTCGAGGTTGCCATTGCAATTTTCTATGAATGCTGAAAGTTTATCACGCGTGTGGAGTTCCTGGTTAGAAAGACTAAGAGAGAAAACACATGCTTGCTTGCGCATTTATGTCCATGGTTCAATTGTGTAACGATGTAATGTTCCTCACAACCGGACATTGGTGTTTGACAGATTATGATTAATTAGCGTCGCTGGGAAAAAATAATTTATTGAAATTTCGCAAATTTTAGCCAGGAAAGGTTTGCTAAGCATAACTTAAAAACGTAATGAAATGTTAAAATGTTAAAATACTAAATGTTTAAAATACTAAAAGTTCTAAAAATCCCTTTCGACACTCGTTATATTAATTGGCGTTTACTAGTTTCGTCGTTAGACCTCTTCAGAACCCGCCATTTTGTCTCATAGACCATTAGAGGTTTACGGTATTTAATGATTTAACCATTTTTTTAACCATATTTTGTATCCTATGTTTTTGGCAATCCGGTACGTTTTGTTTCATGGCAGGCACAAATTCATTGGTGTTGGTCACTTTGACAGGCAGGTCCCCCAAAATTATTTCTGCACGCTTGTACATGTTACAAATTTAGGGGTAATTTCTTTAACCCTTAAGCTGCAGAGCTTAGACCCCACTGACGAGTAAAATCGTCTGGCATTATAGACAAGTAAAAACATATGTTATAAAGGGCGTGCTGGGGCGCATTGTGGCTCAATGGGTGAACTAGAGACATTGTCATATTTTTTGGTTAACCCATTAAGCTGCAGAGCTTCCCCATTGACGAGTAAAATCATCTTGTGTTACAGTGTTAGACAAGTAACAAAAAATAAGTAGGGTGCACTGGGGTGAATTGCAGCTCAATGGGTTACTTTAGTTAACAGTACTGTGATGAATCTAACCAGTAGAGGTGTGCATCGGATCGGATTGGAGGTTTATAATCCGACAATTGCCTAATGTTTAAAATCCGATCCGAGTTTCGATAAAGAATTCCAATCCGATATCCGATCCGAAGAATTCTTTAATAAAATCAATTTCTCATTCAAGTTGAAATATTTAACCAAATAAATATAAAAGCAAGAAATACATGTCAAGAAGCTGACAAAGTGACGTCTAATTGAAGTATCCAACGTATAATGCAGCGACAACTGCGATAATGCTTTGATAAATGCATGGATAATTAATTTTTGCGATAGTGCGTGGATAATTAATTCATTTTATTTCGGATATCGAAGTCCGATCCAACTACGAAACAACTTTATCAATCTGATCCGATCCGAAATGAATATTTTGGTTCCGAAATCCAAACGAATCCGATTCGGATCGGTTTCGGATCGGATTTGCACACCTCTACTAACCAGGTCTCATGGTAGGAAGGTATCTTGGCAATGGTTTTAAAAGTAGCAACCATTGATCAGTGCAAAGTCATGCAGGTATGAAGGAGTAGGGATGTGCCGGATCCGGATACCGGTATCCGGGAAAATTTCGACATCCGGCACTATCCGGTATCCGGTATAAATTTGCCGGATATTTACCGGATAGTACTGTAAGATAATTTGTTACAATCATGAAATGGAAAAGAGTTTAAAAATTGTGTTTAAAAATTCTGAAACACGAACAATTACTGAGCGTGCGCTGCATTACGATGAAATTACGACATATTTTTATCGTGATGGTGAGGTGAACTGCTCGTTCGCCAACAGCAGTGAATTTTATATACTGAATACTAGTAAACATGTAAGCTGTGAATCATTAGATATGGCGTTGGTAAAGACAAATAGGTCAAAGAGATTGTTGAAGTTATTGTATTAAACACATTGCCACATTGGACTAGTTAATTAAGCTATAAAAATGTTATGTTTCTAATAAATTATTGTATGGGAGTATCTGGTTATTATCCGGTATCGCTGGTCATCATTTTCTCCTGACCGGTATCCGGTAGACTACTATCCGGTACTATCCGGCAAAACAGTATCCGGCGCATCCCTACGAAGGAGCATTATAAGTCTTTCGAGACATGCTCTGGAAACTCAGTAAACTTCAAAGCGGTTATAATTATGAGCTGGGATTTTATGTTAAGCTGTACTTTACACTGTGCACATGACTTTGTTTTAGGTAACTTTATTAATATTTAAATAGCATAGTTAATGAATGACTGTTGCTATTGGATGATTCGTTCATTATACTGAAATACAATGTGTTCATTGACCGTGCACTGTGCACAAAACTGCATAAATAAAAGATAGAGTTTCCAAACCATAATAAACTCTTGAAAATTGTGTATATTTATATTCAAATCACCATATTTGTAAATACCGGCAGGTACAAAACGCAGGTTGCAGGTTGCAGGTTGGAATTTTGCAGGTTGGGAATTGACCATTTGCGTAATAGACTAAATTTTGAACTAAACAAGTCTAGACAAAAATTTCACCACAGCTCGAAAGAGCATCACAAAATTAGTAATATTCCAAAGTTTCGTTGCGAAATGTTGTAAAATGCGGAAAATATAGCCTTGCGAAATTTGAAATTTTCAGTCATTTTAGATTACAAACGGGAAATTGACAGCCCCAAACCCTTCGAGGCTGTCAATTTCCGGTTTGTAATCTAAAATGACTGAAAATTGCAAATTTCGCAAGGCTATATTTTCCGCATTTTGTGATGCTCTTTCAAGCTGTAATGAAATTTTTGTTGTGATAAAAATTTAGTCTATTACGCAAATGGTCAATTTTGCAGGTTGGAATTTTGCAGGTTGGGGATTTTGCAGGTTGGAATTTTGCAGGTTGGCAGGAACTTTGCAGGTTACTTGATAATGCAAACTTAAAATTACGTACACCACTTTTTTAGTATTCTAGTATAACTTAGTTGTGCATTTATTGCAGTCTGACTCCTTGTCGGCGCTTTTGATATCAACTAATCAGCCTACCCTGTTGTACGGTGGCCGATAAGGGCCACCTCTGCTGCATGGAAACGCGACTGTGCTGCAAGGAAATGCGACTGTGCTGCATGAAAACACGATTGTGCTGCATGGAAACACGACTGTGCTGCAAGGAAATGCGATTGTGCTGCGTGGAAACACGACTGTGCTGCATGGAAACACGACTGTGCTGCATGGAAACACGACTGTGCTGCATGGAAACACGACTGTGCTGCATGGAAACACGTCTGTGCTGCATGGAAACACGACTGTGCTGCAAGGAAATGCGATTGTGCTGCACAGAAATGCACCTGTGCTGCATGGAAATTGACGATCAACCTCGTACCAAGGGTTCCCGTGTTTAAAGGTTCTGGTGCACGAGTTGGGACCTTTAAACACGGGGACCCCTGGGTACGAAGTTGATTGACGATGTCAGTACAAACACAGGTGGCCCAATATCGCAAGCGTCAGTATAGTAATGTGTATTATAGTAAAATTATGTGATAAAATATAAATTTTAAAATGAAATTGACTTGCCTATTTGATAGTGTGTGTTCTCCTTTTATTTCTCTTTTGTTAGACTAATATTTTTCGAGACTTTGCACTCGATGGACGATGACACTAATATACATACTATTTGATACTTTAGGCAAACTACTTACAATCATCGATCCATCTGCACGGCACTGCGAATCTAAAATTCTCCCACTCAAATCGCTTTATTCTCCAAAAAAATTCGCAATATTTGAATTTTGAGATAGGTAATAG